GCATGTGGTGCTGGGGGATTGAACCGTGGTCCCTGTGCTTTGCTAAGCTTGTTCTAAGTAGGTGCTTTAGACCACTGAGCCATCTCACCAGCCCCAAGACTCTGGCTGTTATTCAGAAAAACTTAAAAAAAAAACAAAAAGAAAAACTTTTGAAGAACCAGACAAGGTGGCAAACATCTGTGATTCCAGCATTTGGAAGCTGAGGCAAGAGGACTGACACAAGTTCAAGCCCACCCTGGGCTATAGAGTGAGTTCAAGACTGGCTTGGACTACAGACTGAGACCCTGTTAGGAGAAACAAAACAAAATCCTATCATAAAAAACAAAAGGGGCTGGAGAGATGGCTCAGTGGTCTAAAGCACCTACTTGGAACAAGCTTGGCAAAGCACAGGGACCGCGGTTCAATCCTCCAGCACCACATGCCAGCCAGCCGCGCCCCCTGGTGGGCTGAGCTGGCCACACACACACACACACACACACACTAAATGTTAAAAAAAAATTAAAAAAAAAAACAAAAGGTTCTCCAACAGTAGAAATTTGGGTATAATTATCAAGCAGAAAGCATTTAGGGGACAGGAAACAATGTGCTCAAAATCAGCTCTTCAGGTCCAAGGAGAGAGCTGAGCAGCGTAACTGTCTACCTGGCAAGTGCAAAGTCCTGAGTTTACTCTCCAGTACCAAGAAACAAAGCAGAAAAACAGCTATTTAGATCTTACCCTTTGAAGGTCTGATCAGCTCCCCAAAACCCTTCTCTGACCTCCTAATCTGCTGAGCCCTGCCCTGCCAGGGGCCTGGGATGATCAAAACCCCCACAGTGGATTTGGTCCAGCCCCAAATAACCTTGCAGCCCTCATTACAAGTCCTGCACTCTCCTTGGGCCAGCCAGATAGCTCAGCAGACTAAAGCACCTGCTTAGGCAGAGCATAGGGGCTGAGGTTTGATCCCCAGCACCACAAACTGTGTGGGCCCCACCCCTGGGGCGAGCTGAGACAGCAAGGGTGTGGTGGCATGTGCCTATAATCCCAGGGCTTGTGAAGCTGAAAACAGGAGGATCACTGAGTCCGATCTACATAGAGACCCTTTAGACCCTGTACTAAATACATTAAGGAAAAAAAAAGGGGGGGCTGGTAAGATGGCTCAGTGGTCTAAAGCGCCTACTTAGAACAAGCTTAGCAAAGCACAGAGACAGCAGTTCAATCCCCCAGCACCACATGCCAGCCAGCCCTGCCCCCTGGTGGGCTGAGCTGGCCACACACACACACACACACACACACACACACACACACAAAATAAATAAATTTTAAAAAGAAAAAAAAAACCAAAAACCTGCACTCTCCAAAAAGGAGTTCACTCAGAAGTGTTAACAAAGATTTTACTGCATAAGGCACAGTGTCAGGCTGGAATCGTAGTAGGCATCTTCGAGCAAAAGCATCAGAAACACTGTTCCCTGGCATGAGAACCCCCAGGGGGGTGGGAGAGCATTCAGTCTTGGGCATGATGTCTGAGGGCAGTAAGTGATTTGCATGGCCCCAACCACCCTTCTAGGGGTACTGCCACAAGGGCAGCTCTTTGGTCTTAAAAAAGTAGGTGCAAGCATCCAGAGGCCAAGTTCTGAGGTTAGGGAGGCACAGTGCCCCAGGGACTGCAGTCTCTGGACAATCTTTTTGGCTTTCAGGGGCAGCATGTGGGCTTCTTCCTGCTGGCAGTTAGGTAGAGGTTGCTGTCATCGCTGTTGATGCCTGTAAAAGGATAGAAAGTCTGTCAAGTAAGCAGGGTTGGCAATTTCCCTTGCTCTTTGCACCCTCATTTTAAAATTTTTATTTATTTATTTATTTTTGGGGCGGAACTGGGGATTGAACGCAGCCCCTGTGCTTGCCAGGCAGGCACTTCTTCCATTGAGCCATCTCCCTGGCCCAAACTTTTGGTTTTTTGTGGGGTTTTTTTTGCGGTACTGGGGATTGAACTCAGGGCAGGCGCTTAGTCTACTGAGCTATCTCCCAGCCCCTCTCTGCACCCTCAAACAGGTGAGCACTCACGGATAACATCCCCAATGCGCCGGGCCCCTGATTTTTCCAGCTCAGCCACAACATTGGCCTCAAAGGTCAGTGCTGCCACACGGAAGAAAAATTCCCGAACATTTTCACCTGACATGGGGAGCAGATGGGTGTCAGTGGCAGCACCAGCTCTGGTGCATGTGGGACAGCTACAAGCTTAGAATGAGAAGAGGGGAAGGCAGAGATGCAGAGGTCCGACACTCACCAGTGAGAGATGAGACTGCCCAGTACTCAGCCTTAATCTCTTGAGCCACCTTCAGGGCATCTTTCTCCATGAGTGCATACTGAGCAGGTGTCTGCAAGAAGGGGTGAGTCAGATGGGGGTCCTTGTCCTAATCTGAAGGGTCCCCCAAGAACACATGTACACTCACACTCAGGTCCTTCTTGGAACCCACGAGGAAGAGGAGCACACTGGAAGGGTCATTCTCCTTGAGAGCATCAGCAAGCCACTGCCTGGCCGGATGGTGGACAGGGGTGAGGAAGGAGGGGGCCTGATGAGCTCATCCGACTCACATCACAAGCCCAATTACCACCACCACCACCCAGCCCCCACCCCACGTTTGCAGTGGAGCCCAGGGCCTTGTGCTGCTAAACAAGTGCACTCGCTCACCCTGAACTACATCCCACCCCGATGCATTCTTCTTCCCTGACCACTCCTCCTTTACAACCTTCCCTTCTTGGACCTTCCCACTGTGTACCTGTACCCTCACATACTTGGTATGTTCCAGGGATACCACATCATTTAGATTGAAGACAATGATGATTGCTGGAAGAGTGGACAGAAACAGTGCAGGTTGGGGGGGAACACAACCCTGGTTCCTTTTGCCAGCCACCCCAGCTCACTTACTCTGGCCCATGGCCCACCTGGCCTAGCCCTTACCTTGAGCTCCACGGTAGTAAGTTGATGCAATGCATTTAAACCTCTCCTGTCCAGCGGTGTCCCAACTGGGAGGAAGGAGAACAGAGCGCAGGGAATGGGGAAAAGGGCCAGGGTGGGGGTGTAAGCCCCAAGGGAAAGACAGTTGGAAGGGATGGGGGAGCACTCACAGCTGGAGGCTGAAGGGGACCCCCAACACTTCAAATCGTTCCATCTCAAAATCCACTCCGATGGTGGCCTTGTAATTCTTATCAAAGGTGTCTTTGCAGAACCTGAGGAGATACCAGGTGCTCTGAATTGCAGCTCAGTCTGGCTAGACTTCGCCCCACCCTGCCCAACCTGGTCTAGCCAAGCCCAGCATCCTTTTACCTATTAATGAGGCAAGTCTTCCCCACTGACAGGTCCCCTACAACAATCACCTTGGAGATCTTAAATCTGCTGAACAAAAGAGAAGACACTAGTTTGTTTTGTTTTGTTTTGAATTTTTATTTATTTATTTATTTATTTATTCATGGTAGAACCGAGGATTGAACTCAGGCCCTTGCACTTGCCAGGCAAGTGCTTATTCTACTGAGCTGTCTCCCCGGCCCCCGAAGACACTAGTTTTGATCCTCAGGAGTTGTTTTGTCTGCACTGCTAAGGATGGACCCCAAGGCTTCTGTGCATGTTAGAAGCTACATAAGCTATAAGCTATGTACATGATTATACTTCCAGCCCTGACTGGCTGTGTGACTTTGAACAGGTCACTTTACTTCTCTGAACCTGTTTCAATGCTTATTTTCTTTTTTTAATTAATTAATTAATTAATTAATTTGTGTGTGTGTGTGTGTGTGTGTGTGGTGTGTGTGGCCAGCTCAGCCCACCAGGGGGCAGGGCTGGCTCGCATGTGGTGCTGGGGGATTGAACCCAGGTCCCTGTGCTTTGTTTAGTTTAGCTTGTTCTAAGTAGGTGCTTCAGACCACTAAGCCATCTTACTAGCCCCTTATTTTCTTTTTAAGGGTATCAAATTTGGGACCTTGAGCTTTCCAGGCAGGTGTTTATGCTGCTGAGCTAACTCCCTGGCCCCCAACGTTTGTTTTCTTGAGACAGGGTCTCAAAAAAGTTGGTCTTGAACTCACTTAGTAGGCCACGATGGCCTTGAACTCAGGGAGATCTTCCTTCGTCAGCCTTCTGAATGCTGGGATTATAGACATACACCATCACATCTGGCACAACATTTGTTAAGTGGAGATTTAGTACATAATTCCTTCAGTTGTTGTGAAAGTTAAAATGAGACAAATATCTTATTTTTTAAAACACTGCTCTTCCCCAACTTTTTTTTTTTTTTTTTTTTTTCAGTACTGAGGATTGAACTCAGAACCCTGTGCTTGCCAGGCAGGCACTTATTCTACTGAGCCATCTCCCCAGCCCTTCTTCCCCTTTTTAACATCTCTGAGGGCGGGGCACAGTGGTGAACACTGTAATCCCACCACTCGGGAGGTTGAAGCAAGACAATCACTGAATTTAAGGCCTGCCTGAGCTACAGTGTGAGTTTGAGGCCAGCCTGAACTACACAGTGAAACCCTGTCTCAAAAAGGTTAAAAAACAAAACAAAACTCTGAATCAAGGTGTATCTTTTTTTTTAATGTCTTTCTTATTTATATTTATTTATTGTGTGTGTGTGTGTGTGTGTGTGTGTGTGTGTGTGTGTTTGTGGCCAGCTCAGCCCACCAGGGGGCGGGGCTGGCTGGCATGTGGTGCTGGGGGATCAAACCGCGGTCCCTGTGCTTTGCCAAGCTTTTTCCAAGTAGGTGCTTTAGACCACTGAGCCATCTCTCCAGCCCCTCAAGGTGTATCTTTACCCATGTTTTCCATTTAATAAAAGACATTGCTATCAGCCAACACACCCCTCTCCATTAATGATCTTTTTGTTTGTTTTTGATATAGGATCTCACTATGTAGTTCAAGCTCTTTGAATTCACTCAGCCCAGGCTGACCTCAGCTGCAGCAAACCTCCAGTCTCAACCTTCTGCCTCAATCTGGAGTGGGATACCTCATTTTAGGAGTGCTGGGATTACAGAGTACTGGGGTCACAGGACTGACGCTATGCCTAGCAGCGTTCAGTTAAGGATAGCAACTGTTTCTAGCATTACTTCTTTTAACTTACAAGGAGACATCCGTGGAGACCACAGGAAGCCCCTGCCTTAGGGCTCAGTAAATGTTATGTGGTCACCTCCCTTTGCTGGACACTTTATCCCATTCGGTAAGGACTAATAACCTTGTTGTAAGGAAAAAGGAGAACTGACAACTTTGTTGGAAAGGAGAGGCTTAAATGGAGGACACCACCATGTAGCCAGGAGCTGAAACAACCCAAACGCGGGGCATTCATGTGTGCCCTTCCTATGGCTTCAGTGTTCCCTCAGTCTTCCTGTCTGCACCATAGATGTCCCTAACTCACCCCACGGTGCCTGTCCGGTGCTCCTGGCAGGCGCAAGTGACGCGGGGGTGGAAGTCTTTGTGCACGTGCAAAGCGGCCTCCTTCCTCAGGCACTGTGTCAGAAGAGAAGGGGCTCAGCCACACCAGGCCTTTGTCCTGCAGCCCAGAAACCCGGGTGGGGTGGGGAGGGCGGGCCACCCAGGAGCTGAGGCCTCGCCCGCGGGCGTCGGGGCTGGGCGCCTTGCTCTAACGGGTCTGGAGCAGCCTTCTCCACGCCCACGCTGGGCTGCAGCCAAAATCCCGACGTGGCCCTGGCGCCTGCTTACCTGGGGCAGCTCCGCCAGGACGCGGTCCCTCCGCACCGGCGCCAAGAGGTTCATCTTGCCTGCGACCTTGCGTGGCGCCCCGAGACGGCGCCGAGGTCTGATCCGCCCCTGCCTCCCGGACCCGTGGAGACCCCACAATCACGCGCGGCAAGGGGGTCCCGACGATCACTCGTGGCCACGGGGAGCCTGCGGGAGCCCGCGGCCTGGGAGACGCCACAGCCACCGCAGGCCACGGGGACGAGACGATCACGCGAGGCCGGGGAGACCCCACAACCACACGGGCCCGAGGCGCCCCAAAAACAACTCGGGGTCGGGGAGACCCCTCGGCAGCCAGGCGGGGGCGGGGTGTCCCGTCGGGGGCGGCCCGGGCCCGCGTGGACCCTACAATGACGCGGGGTCGGAGAGCTCCCACGATCACCCGGGGCCGCGGAGACCCGACGACGGCTCGCGGCGGGGGCGGCCCCACCATAACAGAGGCCCGGGCGCGGCGCGGCCCCGCCGCACGGGGTCAGTGTGCGCAAAAAAGACGCTGCGGGGCCCGTCGGCTGCGGGGCCTGCAGTCCCACTCCGCTCCGCCCGACCAGCGCCGTAACACGATCCCCGGAAATTCCTGGAGAAGGGCCGCCCCCTGCCCCACTCCAGGCCACGCGGGGCCTCGAGCCCGCCCTCGCCTCCCCCTCCTCTCCTCTCAAACCCACTGCGCAGCCTTCGCCCTGGCAGCCTCGTCGGACTCCTCACCCCTAACCCTAGGCGCTCCCACAGAGGGTGGATCCTGTCCAGCTCTGGATCCTCCAGGGCGCTCTGTCCGCACCTCGGGTACCAGGCGGCGCCTTCCTGGGGACCCTTACCCCGCCGAATTGGTGATGGAGATTCGGTGATTGCGGCGCAGCATCTGGCGAGGCAGGAACCCGCGGGGAGAGCCAAAGGGGGAGAGAAGGGGCCTTAAGGGAGGCGGCGCTTCCCTCCTCCACTCCAGGCCCGGGCCGTGACTCACAGTCTGCCCCTGCTCGCCCTTCTGCCCTGGGAGGTGGGGGGCGGAGGAGTGTAAAGGGGTGCCGGGATCAGAACGAGGTGCTCACCGAAGGGAGACACATTCGACGTCCATTGTCTCTCCCTTCCAGGCTACAGTACAGATCTAAGGATAGGAGAGCTGGCTACCAACCTGCCTGTCTCCATGAAAAATGAAGAAGGGCTAGGTGGACCGAAGAACCTTGTCCTTTGGGGTGGGCACCACTCTAGGACACTAAGATTCCTCACTGGTATAGGCATTGTTTTTCTTGTCTGCATTAGAACAGCCCCCCAGCGCGCGCGCGCACGCACACACACACACACACACACACACACACGAAACTAGGATGATCTTTTTGCAAAGAGGGTAGAAGAGCAGCCAGGTTCACATTAAGGGGGACATCTGGCTCCAGAAACAGGGGGACAGAAAAGGCGGTGTGTGAGGATGGGGCGAATCAGACACACAGACCTGAAAAGCAGTTCTCAACATCATGAAATCTGCTCTGTGCTAGAAGCTGAGTTTAAAGATGCAAAGACAACTGGGACATGAATAAAAATCCAGAGAAGGGAACTGAGAAAAATCATTCTCAGGCAGAACTAGGACATCCTGGAGAAATCTGTGCATGGGTATTTGGAATGTGAAGGGCATCAATGAAGTGGGCATGGTGGCATGTCCTACAATACAAGCTACTCAGAAGGCTGACACTGGAAGAGCAAAAGTTTCAGACCAGCCTAAGCAATTTAGCAAGATCTTATCTCAAAATACATTTTGTTTTGTTGTTTTATTTTTTTAGACACTGTGCAATTCAGGCTGGCCTACAGCTCATGGAGATCCTCCTGCCTTAGCCTCCTGAAGGATGTAGCTTAGTAGGGCAGTGTCTGCCTGGCAATCTTGAGGCCCTGAGTTTCATTCTTTTTTTTTTTTTTTTTTTTTTTTGGTGGAACTAGGGATTGAACTCAGGCCCTTGCTTTTGCCAGGGAAGTGCTTATTCCACTGAGCCATCTCCCCAGCCCATGAG